CCTCTATACAATGGGGCCTGGAGTGATGCTCTCAGCTCAGGATCAGATAGCCTAACAGAGACCCCTCTATACAATGGGGCCTGGAGTGATGCTCTCAGCTCAGGATCAGATAGCCTAACAGCTGGAGGCTGCTGCAGCACCCTCACAAACCCTTAGTTCCCCGTGCTCCCCTTCCCTTCTCCGGGTGTCCCACCTCCCTACGAACCTGCCCAGAGACCCACTCTCCTGCCCATTGTGCCTCCCCCCCCCCCCCCCACACCATTCCTGCAATTTTTTTTTTTAGCACACAGCTGGGCTGCAGCTGTGCGCTAACTGAGCTGCCTGTGGGCCACATGTTGAGAACTTTTGGCAGAGAGCTTGAATTTCCTTCTTGCCTCTCAAATAGTTGATGTTTCCATGTCAAGCTTGAGGCATGTCTTCAGAGGAGCTGTGAAAGGAGGGCTTGCATTGCCTGTGCCCATGTTGCACCAGCCCTGTGGGTGCGCCAGGGATTTTAATCTCCAGGATGGGCAATCGGGCATATATTTCATCAGTGCTACATTGACCCAAAAGTATTTTAATATTTAATTTTTTCCTTTTGTTAAGTATTAGAATGAACAGAACCTTAGTTTAAAGGCCGTAGAATGCAGGATGCATTGTCACAGCAAAGAATTACAACTGCACCGACCTCTAACAGTAGCTAAATGTTTCAAAAACTTTTTCACTTATATGTGGTTTGCCCTGTAAGGGTTGCTAGAATAGAAATGGAAATCACTGGGGCAAAGACTGAAGTTTCCTGGCTAGGCTATCACTGAAGAAATGCTTAGGCACTGTATGCTGCTTTCACTGAAGAACATTCCTGAATGTCTTAAGAGTGATTTTTTTTTTTTTAGTGTACTGTAGTTTCTTGGAATATTTCCTGAAAGACAACACTCCCGCAAACACAGTGACCAGATTCCTTTGGAAAATGCATTTGCCAGACTAATGGGTTTCACCACTTCATTCTGGAACAAGCTATCCGTACTGTAATTGTGACTTGAGGGAGATCATCTACAATAAATAAAACAGTACTGTGTTAAAAGGGGGGAAATTATTGGCAAAGTATAGTGGAATAATAATTATTAGTACCATGCAACCTACAGAAAGCTTCAAGGCATTCTGCACCATTGCAAAGAGCTCATGGAGATTAAAAAGACCACCCTAAAGAGCTTCAAACAAGAACAAGAGAAGAGGGCAAATATGGGTGGGGTGTTAGATATGTGGGATGGTTACAACAGTTGTTACACTAGAGAACACATTTGGAGACAGATTTTAAGATGAGTTTTCAGTGAAGAGAGGTGAACTGACATGAAGGCAAAAGGAAGAAAGTTTCATCTCCACGAACAACTGTCAGGGAGTTAGCTGTGACATTTTCCCAGAAGTATGAGCAATCCTGGTATAAGGCTGATAGAAACCCTGTCATCTGTGGTGGAATCAAACCTAGGACCTCTGTACAGGGTTCCCTCTAAATTTTTCAATCTGTGTCTAGAATAAATTTTGTTATGTGCACTGAGGCATGTGTGGATGTGCACCACCAGCAGAAACACATGCTGCTGGCTGTAAGCCCTCTGCTTGTAAGCAGGGGAGCTTTTCAATCTCTCCTGGGTAGCTGCCCAAGCGCTTCGCTTACAGGCAACACTGCCTCTGGAGCTTAGTGTACGAGTTTGTACCTCATGAGCTAAAAGCCAGTTGGCTCTTAGCTAAGGCTGTAGAGCAGACTCCTCATTCTTTCTGTAAGTGGTCTCGGAGCCACTAGATGGCACAATGTGCTATACCTGGAAGTGTATGTGGGTTACACTAGCACTGCCTTGTCTACTCCCTGGCCAAAGCAGCTGGTTGGGTGCAGAGGAAAGGAGTAAACTTCTGTCTGAAATGGGTAAAATAACCACCCCTTCCCTCAGAGCAAAATGGAACCAGGGATTTGATTGTGATTGAGTCACAATTTGGTCCCTGTACTGCTTTTAGGCTGGTGCAGTTTCAGGCCACTCCTCATTCAGGAAAGGTTGTAAAGTCTAGCCTGAAATAGGCAGTGACATGTGACATCATGGATGTCCACTAGCTGTTCCATTTAGGCCAGATGCTGCTACCTTTACTCATGCTAAGGCACACTTATTTAAGAGTTTGCAGTTTACTAAACAATTTTTTTCTATGATAAATTATATTAATATCTCTTTCTTCTTCCATTCCAGTGTTTGGGTCATGAAACTTATTCCACAGCAAGCACCGTTATATGTGAGTAGATCAATATTTAAATTCCTTGTTTTTTTTCTTTTTTGTCTGTCAAGTTCTACCTATTTGATCCTGTTTTACTCTTTTCCAAGGATCTTGTTTACCTTATTTTATTTTTAGCTCCCCAAATAAATTTGAAGTATAATATTTCAATAAAAGAGAACTTTTTAGCTCATCTGGATAATACCTTTAGGGTAGAAAGCTTAAGGGTCTAACTTGGGGAATGCTGTAATGTGTAATATTGCTCTGTACTGTGCATAAGCTTAAGAGCATGAAAATACCCCCTTCCTTTTTGGAGAACATTTCTGATTGAATGTCAGTGCTGTTGGAATTCAAGGAGGGTTGAGAGGTTTCACAAGTTGTAGTTTGTGTGCAAAACAAGAAACCTTAATGTTTAGGGGTGTATAATAAGTGGCCTGTGGGCTGGATGTGGTTCACCAGGCGTAGGCCATGGCAGGCTACTGCCACTTTATTTACCTGCACATCTTCAGGTACAGTCACTTGCAGCTCCTAGTGGCCATGGATTGCTGTTCCCCTGCAGATAGCTGTGTCCTGGTCAATCTGTGGCCAATGGGAATTGCAAGCGTCCCTACTTGTGGCTGCGCAGGTAAATAAAGCTCCGGCAGCCTGCCAGGCGTTAACCTAGAAAACAACATCTGGGCCATTGACCGCTTTTTGCCCACCTCTTCCTTATTTTTTGTCAGACCTCACACAGGATAGAAATGGAGCTGGGTCATCAGGAAACGGCAGGAGAGCTTGCTAAGTATGGTATGTTTCAGCTCTCTCTAGAAGCTGGAGATATGGAATTTCTATAGTATGGTATGTTTTAGCTCTCTCTAGAAGCTGGAGATATGGATGACCAAGATAATAAAGAACAAGCTAGCTTTTTCGTCTCAATAGATGCCCTGTTGCAGCATGATAGGAACTGCCAAAAAAGAGCTGGACACACGTGTATATAAATTGTTCAGATATGTTTTGGAATCAGTGACAGGCAGCATAACTGTTTTACTGTAGCTAGCACTGCACAAGTGCATCATGTTAGCGGTTTGCTCGTGGAATCCTTGTGTTCTAAATGTATTCCCTGTTTGGAAGGGAACGTACATGTACCGTGCCAGTTTTAAAAAGAAGTAACCACTGTCCTACTCTAGGTAAACTACTTTTTTTTAAAGCAATGATGTCTTAGGGACCTTTGGCACGTGCACTGAACAATTAACAATGTGTATTTTAGAAGATTCCTCTCATCTGCGTTTCCATTCTGAAACCCCATAAATAGACTTCAATCTGTTTCAAAACAGAGATTCCTTAGCTGTTACTCTGGAGATTGTCT